ACCCCTGGTTCACATATATGTGGCCGTGTGAGCCGCGTTTTGCGTGGGCACGAGAGCCCATTTATTTGAATGGACTCCCGTGCCCCGTGACATGAAGGGGAGAAGTACCTGCACTTCTTCTGAAAACGCAGCCCACAGGGGAACCTCGGTTCCCAGTATGGTTGCGTTTTCCAGTGCGGGCGGCGTGCCATTAGAAATAATGGCACCGCCTGCAGGTCTGCATTCCTCTGTGTGGGTGGTGCGGCTGCACGGATTTTCGTGTGGATCTGCAGCCACACCACCCGAACATATATGAACCTAGCCTGAATGTACACATACATTTCTGTACCTGTATTTTTAATTTCTTTAACTGAACAATTAAGTTCTACTGGATACATCATCAGCGCTCTCCTTATCACACTGAGCCTGCGTAATAAATCTAAAAGCCCTTTCCACCCATGATTGATCAGGGAGCTTAGCTGGAGGTCAGAAACAGGTTAACGGCACCCTTTGCTTCTTGGTGGAACCGTTTCATGATCACATAATCCTTCCACACACATCATAGCAGACTAAATGAATTTACCTTTGAGGAAGCTCATAAATCACAGACGGAACACGAAGAATTCTAGAAAATCAACCATTATATTGAGAATTTATTAAGTGTTTAAACACTCACATTAGACCGAGGAACAATTTCCCCGACCAAAAGCAAATTACAAAAGTGTTCTCTAGAGAAAATCGCGCTTTATTGGCGACGTATTGAAAACGTGCCTTTCGCTGACAAAAGCCAGCGATTTACCTACTTAATATGTTTAGTATAATCAGCCTGATGAGTGATGGCAGTTGTCAGTGCCGTTAGAAAACTCATTTTAAAATCAGCATGAAGTACTCAACAGCTCACCATTCAAAGGCTTTCAGTCAACTAACAGAGCTGCCGGGAAGTGTAATTATAGGACGATATAATTGGCTGGCCTTAATTTCTTCCTGAGTAAATACTTGTGAGTGGAAATTAAACCTCCCTTTAATGGTATACACAACTGTTAATCTTCTGTGGTGCTGCTGTGCTATGCAGGTTGCTGGTTTATTGCCGGGGCCGGCTATGTGCGCTCTTTGTTTCGTGTTCAGCACACAAAGTAAACACATTTACTGCTAAAGTTTTGATAAAAATTTTAAGACTTCATTTAAAAGTGTTAAATATGCCAAACCTGGTTCTTTGAGAAGGTTTTGAGATCAGGGTGGATAAAAATCGATGATTTTTTTTAAAAAAATCAAAAAAATCAGATTTGTTTTAATTTAAATCGGATTTTTTTTATTTAAATCGGATTTTTTAAAATAAAATGCTTTTTGAGGAAAATATATTACCATCCAAAGGTTATTCCATCATGAAATAAAGATCAGTTTTTTAATCATGTAGAATAAGGCTGTATATGTTTAAATTTTTTTGGTAAATAAATTTCATGAATCCATTCACAATGTCATGCTCTTCCAGAGGTTTTTGTAAGATTATTGGGCAGTTTCTCTGCCTACAAGATATTATCACAGATGCTCGGTTTACTTTGCAGTTCTCAAAACTGAATTTGACTCAGCGGAGATCACATTATTATTATTATTATACAGTATTTATAAAGCGCCAATAGTTCGCTCAGCGCTGTACATTACAAAGGGGGACAGAACATGTGACAGAACAATACTAATACAATGCAAAACATGAGGGGATCGAGGGCCCTGCTCTTTCAAGCTTACAATCTAGGAGGGAGGGGATAGTGGTACAGGAGGAGATAGCTGTGGGGGGATGGAGTGGTAGGAAGAGTGGAGGAGGTCGGCAAGTTAGCAGGGGGTGGGGTAGGCTTCCCTGAAGAGATGGGTTTTTTAGGGTGCGCCTAAAGGAGAGGAGAGTAGGTGATAATCTGATGGGTTGGGGCAGGGAGTTCCAGAGGATGGGTGACACCCTGGAGAAGTCCTGGAGGCAGGCATGGGAGGAGGAGACCAGGGAACTAGAGAGAAGGAGGTCTTGTGAGGAGCGGAGTGTGCGTGCTGGGCGGTACTTGGATATTAGGTTGGTGATGTAGTTCGGGGCAGTATGGTGAACAGCTTTGTACGTCAGTGTTAGGATTTTGAATTTGATCCGTTGTGCAATCGGAAGCCAGTGGAGGGATTGGCAGAGGGGGGGGTGGCGGAGATGGAGCGGTTGGAAAGGTGAATGAGTCTGGCAGCCGTATTCAGGATCGACTGAAGCGGGGATAGCCAGCGGCGAGGCAGGCCAGTGAGGAGGGAGTTGCAGTAGTCGAGTCGTGATATGATGGAGTGGATGAGCTGTTTAGTGGTTTCTGGAGTTAGGAACGTGCGGATTTTGGCGATGTTGCGGAGGTGGAGTCTGCACGAGTTTGTTAAAGATTGGACTTGGGGCTGGAAGGATAGGTTGGAGTCCAGAATGACACCAAGTACTCTGGCCTCTTCTTCACAGCAAAAATGTTATAACATGAACAGAGTTAAGAAAAAGACCTTAATCCTAACTTCTACAAACCTATGAATACAGAATCAACCCCTTCAGTGATAAGTTTCAAGAAGTTCAGTGAATAGAATAGAAACAATATTTTTCTGATTGTTTGGAGTGGAATAGATCTGCACAAGAAGAAAGTGACACTAAGTGTGAGGAGGAAGGGGCTGACAGTCTACGTTTCTTAAAATATATATATTTTGTTTAGCCAAATTAGTTAACAAACATGGATGTTTAAGCAAATAACATATGCTGGAATGTTATTGTTTCAGTTGAATAAATCTATTTAAATTGTTATTATTAAGGTAATGATTATTTTTCTCCTTCCTAAGTACAACAGAAAAGTTGTCCAAATATGAATGATTAACCTATTAAACTGGGGATAAAAAAACTAATATGAAAAGTTGTTATTCTAAAAATCTTCATCTACTTGCATATTAAAGTTATACCAGCAAGAATTAGTCTTTATGTAGAAAACTAGGATTTAAATCAAGCCTTACTGACTAGTGATTTAAATCGTGATTTAAATCAGTTTGATTTAAATCAAATCCACCCTGTTTGAGATCTTTGTCTTTTCGCATCATTCTTATTAAAATATATTCAGATCCAGAACAAAAAGTGAGATATTGCAGCTTACCGGTTCTTAGAAAAGAAAGTCAATGCAGGCTCAACATTTAAGGCCTCATTCACATTACTCGATTTGGAATCCTGGCCAGAACCACTATGATTCTGTCCGTGATTTCAAATTGTGGCAAAATGCACAACACATGTAATGGCACCCAAATGCGGTGTGATTCTGCTGTGATTGTTGCGCAAAAGAATCATACGACAATTGCGGCAAAATGCACAATAAACATTTGTGCTATGCTTGTCGCCCAAAAAAGGAGCAGGAGCTTGTTTTGGGCGTCGAATCCATTGAAGTGAATGGTCTGCCCTATGCGCATCACGCACAATCATGTAGGAGTTGCGCAACAAAAATTGCGAGCGCTTTCCTGATATGTAATATGTGAATGGGGCCTAAGGTGGTTCTGCCAGTAACACACTTCGGGCTTGTGGCTTGTACAAAGTAAGTGATCAGAGTGTATCACTTTTCAGAGTCGCTTGACAGGTGGAGAGGAGGCCTTAAAGTGTTACTACACCCACAACGGTAAAATCAGTCTGTATATGTAGTAAAGCGTGCTTGATGTACTCATTGTGGAACCTAAGGGGTTAGTCCTCTGCACTGTGTAAAAAAAGACCGTTTGATCCTTTCTTCTCTGCCCCTCTCCTCTTGTTGAAATGACCACTTGATACAGGCTGAATCTGTAGTCACATGCACATGCTCCGTTTGGTGTGTATTGCTAGAGAGCAGGGGCGGACTGACCATTTGGAAACTCTGGCACTGCCTGAGGGCTTGGGGTCAATAGGGGGCCCCATGAGATGCCCATGGTACCTTTTTTATATCCTTTTTTTGAGTTTGGGCAAGGATACAGGAGCCCCATGACCCCCTATTGCCCAGGGGCCCCATGAGTTGTCATTCCGCCCCTGCTAGAGAGGTTTTTCTTTTCTTGGGAGAGTGCATGTGAAGAGCAGAAAGAATCTCCTTCTACAAGCTTTAACAAGTGCTCTGCTGAAGTCACAAGACTGCTCTAACTTCTGATGAGAAAAGGTATTTAGCAGTTTGTATTTACTACAATAATTGCATTTCCATGTTGTGTGTACTGTGAGAGACCAGATATAGTGAATGCAGGGTCCTGGGTTTAGTATCACTTTAAGTTGCCTCTTGACTGCCTATTTCAACCCCCTAAGTGCAGCACTGCGGTCCCATTTACTAAAATGGGTCGCATATGGCAGACTGTAATGCCCGCACGTGACAGGGATAATTATTGTACCGTGGTATGTGTGCCTCCCTGGCCACTGCCTTTTCAGTTGGGGGGGGCAGTATAAATGTGGCTCAGGTGCATGGTTATCCACCCCCAACAATTGTGAATGAGCCCTTCTTGTACTAGTAGGACAATGTTCATTTCTTTGCACTGTATCTGTGAAAAAGTAGCATTTTCACCTTGGGACAGGAAGTGTTAGGACTACAGAGCACCTCCTATCCATCCTCATCTCCATAATATAGAGTCATTTGAGGGGTTCTGTAGTTGACGGGAGAATCAGGTGGAGCTAGTAACATAGCTGAGATTTCATGGCAGCAGAGGTGCAGTTGTTAAGTTTACTGGATTTCTGGCAACATCAGCAAATATATAATTTCACTTATTAAAACGATAAACCAAACACATTCAGTGATCTATTTACCAGATGAAAATGGAGCGAATAAAGAAGTTCATTGTTACGGGTTGTATACACTTTGTTTTTTAATGAACACGTGGACCTGGAATAAATGGTGGCTTTCAAATCTGCCTGCAGTACGGATATAAGTTGGAAGTATTAATTTTGGATAAAGTTTTTTTGCAAAGTGCTTAAAAAAAATGTCATTTTTCAATAAACGTGTTTTGTGATCCAAAGAATAATTTTATTTTATTTTTTTTTTGTATTTCAGCTTGCAGGTCGGACCATGCCAGATACTCAAACGTCTCTGAAAGCCGTAGAAAACATGTTGGAAACATTGCAGATTACTCAGTCCTAAGTCTTCTATAGCCACTACCTGCTGACTCTGACCCAGATCTCGTAGTCATCGTCTTGTCCTTAAAGTGGAACTCCAAGCTGAGCAAAAAACAGCTATACTGTTGTTAGTGATGCCCTGAGTATTTGTTTTACTGTACATTGCATGTTTCTGCATTAGTGGAAATATAAAGCCAGCCTCCTGGTGATACTATGGAAAAATGGCTGTCCAATGTTCTGATATCACTACCTGAATTCTCATACTAGTATGCATGACCTGGATGAACCACTGTGCCGACATGTATGATCAGATCTGCACAGTCTTCCCCCTCAGTGTGAACTGTGGATGTTACCAAGAACAGTAGTTCTCACGGCTGATTGATGTCGCACCCTCAGAAAATTCGACCTGCAGATTGGTTTAGAATTAAGCCAGAAGACAAACCCCGAAAGCAAAATATGTAGATATTTTAAAGCTTCTGTAAAATCTACATTTAGGTGTGTTTAATTTTTGTGCCTGGAGTTCCACTTTAAAGGTGGAAGCCCTCACACTCTGAGCTTTATATGTGATCTTAAGAATGCAGCCTTTTTGTTCCCTAGCAAGCTGTGATATCACAAAGGCATGGAAAGACTTGGAGTATATTAGAATTTCTAAAATAACCTCTTTTGGCTGTGACGGAATGAATGAAAATCGGTAGTGAAATGTGTCGCAGTATGTATTTGTAGACAGGAATGAAAGCATGTTTTATGCCGTAACGCGTTAATATTTTCACTGAAAAATAATTTATTTGAGTCTATAGCTAAATTAAATGCAAAATAACTCCTTGTTTAATTAGATGTTATACACAAGTTTTTTATTAAATTTTTTTTTTCCTCCACTGATTTTGTTTAAAGATCACAGTAATGGATTCTGACAGGAAGTTCTAAAAATACTGAGCTGACCGCTAACATTTAATGATTGGATGGTACATTGCTTGGTAATAATACAATCTCTTCTTTACACAGGTGTTTTTTTATAGTTCACAAAGGCTACTTAAATTTTTTTTTTATCTTTATGTACAACCCCAATTCCAAAAATGTTTGGACGCTGTGTAAAAACAGAATGCAATGATTTGCAAATCTCATAAACCCATATTTTATTCACAATAAAAAACAAAGTAAATGTTTAAACTGAAAAAATGTACCATTTTAACCTCCCTAGTGGTATGATTATTTCAGATTTGGTGTGCTGAAAGCGGTACCATTATTTTGCATGGAAAAATATGTTTTTTTTTATTGTAGGCTGTAATTTTTAGGAATAACTCACTGAAATCTGTCTGAACAAGAGTCTATTAAACATCCCGGATATGATAAAACTTGAAACACGAAATCATAAATTATAATTTAATAAATATTCATAAAAAAAATATAATAATAATACATTTAATTCAATAATATAATCAACCCAAAAACACTGAAATTTGAAATAGAGCGCCAAGTTCGCACATTGCTGAGCAAAGTCGTAAAATCGTTTTCAGTGTCTGATAACGAATTTCCCCACAAATCATCACTCAATTCTGCAAGTGGTTCTGATTTACGATCGCTGTTCTCTAGCTGATCTAAACCGCTTTTGACCTAAAGGGACGTTTTTTGGATCCATGGACTTTTCTCAGTTTCCAGGCAGAAAGAACAGACAAAATGGAGGCAGGGCACAGGACAAAGCACTAGGGACAAAATGTATGTGAAATGGGTTGAAACAGCAATGTTTTGCTATGTAAAATTTGTTTGGAAAAAAATGACATTTTTTAAAATTTTCAAATTTCCCGCCGCTGGCACTTGTACGTCCCGACGTCACAGGGCCGGGACACAGAAGCCGGATGCCGGCATCGGCCGGAGGAGATGGCCGGGGACGCTGCAGGGGGCATATCGCGGGAGCGAAGGACAAGGTAAGCTCTGCAGGGACTCCTATGCAGCGCCGCATGGTAAGCCCGAGTGTAGCTCGGGGTTACTGCTTTTTTTACTTACATTTTACCCCGAGCTACACTTGGGAATACCGCTAGGGAGGTTAAGAAAAAAATAAGCTCAATTTGATGTTGATGGAAGCAACACACCTTGAAAAAGTTGGGACAGAGCCATGTTTACCGTGGTGTAGAATCTCTTCTTTTCCTGAAAAAAAAAAAAATGTGCATTTATTTTTTTTTTTCACAGGAGCTTGCAAAACCAGTTGCATTTTGGGGTGGGGAAGAACAAAAGGTTGAGCTGCCCTTTAAACTGAGCATATGATAAACCAATGCAAATTGAGGATAACTTAAGAGATGAAATCCAAGAATTTAGCAACTTTGCAAAAAGAGCAGGCACACTATGAGTTAAGTCCAATTAGGTGCATGTCATGTGACTTATGTTACATCAGACGAAGTCCGGAAGTGACGAAACGCGTTAGGGACGTGACGTGACGTCACGTGACGTCAAGACGCACGCACGGAAACCGGATGTTCCGCCGCGGCCATTTTGACTGCTGGAAAACGTGGTTTCTATTGCCTATTGATTGCAAGGCTGGTTTTGTTTGCCACAAAGAGCTGATATTTAATATCCCCAATGTAAGTTATTTAATAAATTTATCCCTATACTTGGAAATCTATTATATGAGTCTCCTTTGCTTTATGAGGAATATGGAGGATGGGCTCCTGAAGTGAAGGAAAACTTGGAAGTAATACTGTTTTACCAGGGATATCATGATAAGCTTATGAATACTACCAGAGGATAATGGTATTTAATATCACTATTTTGAGTGTTCACGGAGTGTTCACTGTATGAATTGAAGTGGTCACTAAGTGTTCACCATATGTATTGAAGTGCTCACTTTAAGATTGGATTTTGGTTCACATTTATTTAGTTGATGATTTATATATAAATTTTGGATATATTTTTTGCACTTTTTTTTGTAATTTATTTGGAAGATAATGCACTATATGAGTATTCTTTTTTTCGAGGTATCACAAAGATTTAAATAGGATTGGAATCCTTCCTACTGGACTTATTTATATTTGTTTTGGTGGACTTTTGATTTGGACTTTAATTGGACTATTTTTTATTCATTTTATATGTATTTATTTTTGGGAGTATTTGGTTAGTTAATATTCAGATTATGCACGGGGTATGGTGAAAGGTTATATTATATCAGTTAAGCACCTGGATTCTTCTACTATGAAGCCATGCTGTTTTCATATTTATTTATTATAGGTACTTATATAGCGCTTTCAATTTACGCAGTGGTTTACGTATATTTTGCACATTCACATCAGTCCCTAACCCTCAAGAGGCATACATTCTTCATAGATGCAGTATTCAGTTTAGCATTGTCCTGCTGAAATATGCAAGGCCTGAAAAGACATTTATCTGGATAGGCGCATTTGCTGGTCTAAAACCTGGATATATCTTTCAGCATTGATGCTGCCATTCCATATGCACTAGTGCACCCCCATACCATCAAAGATGCAGGCTTTTGAACTGAGCGCTGATAACCAGCCAGAAGGTATCTCTCTCCTTTTGTCCGTAGTATGTGGCGTCCATGGTTGCCAAAAAGAATGTCCAATGTCGATTCATTCTTCTGACCACAAATCATTTTCCACTTTGCAGAAGACTATTTTAAATTAACTTTGACCCAGGGAAAATGGTGGCATTTCTGAATCATGTGCAGATATGGCTTCTTCTTTTCCAGATAGAGCTTTACCTTTAATTTTTGAATGGCATGGCAATTCCTCAGCCCATGCAGTGATGTCCATCACAGAAGCATTCCTTTTTTTTTTTTTATTGTAGTGCTGTTTGAGTGCCCCAAGATCATGGTCAGCTAATATGGCCTTTTAGCCTGGAGAGATTTCTCCAGAATCTCTGAATCTTTTGATATTATGTACTGTAGATGATATATTTAAAGTCTTTGCAGTTTTATGTTGAGGAACATTATTCTGAAATTGTTCAACAATTTTTAGATGCAGCTTTTCAGATTGGTGGACCTTTGCACATCTTTACTTCTGAGACACTGACTCTCTAAGATGCTCTTTTTATACCCAGTCATGTTACTGACCTGTTGGCAATTGCCATAATTAGTTGCAAAATGTTCTTCCAGCTCTTCCTTGTTAGTACCACTTACTTTTCCAGTTTCTTGTTCCCCTGTCTCGTATTTCTGCCATCATAATTACCTTTTCTTTTTTTTTTCTTAAAATGATTCATTTTTTTCTCAGTTTAAACATTTGATATGTTTTCTATTATGAACAAAATATGGGTTTATGAGATTTGCAAATAATTGCATTCTGTTTTTATGTAGACTTTGCAAAGCAATCCCAACTTTTTTTGGAATTGGGGTTGTATTCACAAACTCCATTTTAATGGGTCTTTTTTAGGTACAATAATTAGTACTGAACAACCCATCCATACAAAACTTTGCATGAATCCCCCAACTTTCGTACTAATTATTGAATGTACCTAAAAAAAATAAAATGGAGTTTGTGAATACAACCCCAATTCCAAAAAATACATTGATCAGTAGGGATGTTGGTACATAGTTGACGATGCTCACTCGAAGTCCATAGCTATTAACACAGTGTTTTTATTTTTAGCTGACTTTTGCATAAAATACCTCTCACTCCAGTGCTAGTGTTCTCTGTTCTTGTGGATACGTAGAGGCCACATTTCTCATCACAAGTCAGTGTGCACACTTGTAGCATGGAGGAACAATGGGGGGGATGTGTCTGACCAGGTCTGCAAGACTGCAGAGTATACAAGGCATTGAGATCAAACTCTGGTCCCCTCAGGATTGTGCAGTCATTTTTAGACTATTATACAACTGAGCTATTTTTACAGAAAAGTGGAGGTAAAACTATGAAAATTGCTAGTGCAATGTCTGATTGAGTGAAAAAATGCTGGATTTGTTATTTTAGGAACTTTGTAAAGTGGCATTATATGCACACAACTGTGGGAACTCTGGACTTAGGAACTTTAGAAAACTATATTTAGAAAAACACACATGCTGGTTACTAATCAATGTACCGTATT